ATATATATATATATATATATAATGTTACTGTGTCTGATGTTTATATTAAACATGGCCAAAGTTTTGAATTATTAGGTAAACGTGTTAAAAAAAAAAAAAATCCCTGTGAGCAAAATCCTCTGGCTTTAGACTGTTCCGAATACTGTTTTCAATGGGGTTTTTTTTCTCATTTTGGGGCAAGCTTACATCAACTCTTGATTGATTTCATTATGCAGTCATCTGCTCCAGACATGCTACTGCATTTTTTTTTTAATTATGTAGCTTGCATTGCTACATGGTGTTACATTATGTAATCTTGGTCGCAGATGTTGTTAATGTTTGATTTTTAAATGGTAGAAAGTGCTGGTCTCTCTGTTTCAGTTACATCCCCCAGTTGCAAGTACACTGCTACATGTAGCTACATGCTAACATAAGGACAACATGTATTCATGGTTGCTGTTCTTAAATTCTCCCCAATTTCACATTATACTCCCGCTTGAACATGCGCAGTTGTGAAAATTTTACTTAAGAAGCCTTTGTCGGTGATTTTTCACTGTAGTAATTCAGTTCGATTCAGTTTTATTTATAAAGCTGAAATAGAGGCATTTCAGACAGTGAGTGTGAATACAGGTGTTCCAGGTCAGACAGTAGGAGAAAAATAAAGTATTTCTTCACATTAAAACATGTGGGCATGTTCTAGTAGAACCCAAAATACAAGAATGAACCTTATAATGAGCATAATAGCACCCCTTTAAACACCTTGTCAAAAGGAATAACAATTACCTCAACCACCACCAGAGTAAAGCAAAGGACATGATGATGTGATAAAATACTCGTTCTCAGATGGGCTGGTATTGTTTAGAGCAGCTCTACTCTATCAGCACTTTCACACCATCAGAGTGCCCTCTGGTCGCCATGCTGAGTGTGTGGAGCAGTGCGTGGGTTGGTGAAACACTAGTTCAATCTGTCGTCATTTTTTTTTCCTATAATGCCTTTTTAACTGAGAGTCTTTGATCTGTTGTGTCAGTTCTGGGAAATGTTGCAGCAGTCTGATAAGTCCTGTTATAGAAGTAACAATATACAACCTTTTGTTGTATAGCACCTTTTATACATAAGATGCCACTCCAACGGCTCACAGACTGGCCTGCTCCAGCTGTATGCACTGACAAAGAGAGTTATGAACCAAGAGGAGGAGAATCATTTCCAATGTCATAATACAGCTGACTTTTCAATAATAACAGATTTAAGCACAGCATATCAAAGGAACATAGGCTGACAATTTTTTTTTCCAAGTCTGTCTTACAGGGTAACGTTGATATTTTTCAACCTATTTTCCATGTTTTTGTGACAAATGAGAATACATTTTTTTTTAAAATGCTCCAGTATTGAAAGAGAGGGCTGCAGCAGTGAACCAGGCTACAATTAGCACTTGTGGCGTGTGGAAACGTCAGTTTGCGTCCACTTGACGTCCAAAAAAAAGTGCTTGTTTCCGCCACTGACAGGCTCTGATTGCTATTCATGCTATTGCAATATCATGGAAAGGATCCCTTCAAAGATAGACCTTTCATTTAAGAGTAGGATCCTTTTTGTTTAACTAGAAACAGCCCCAAAATCGCAATCGCCAAAGCCACCAGACTCCATTTAAATAAACAGTAAATTTATTAACCTAAAACACACTTCATTCAAAGTAGACAGCAACAAAATAAAACACATAGAAGCCATCTTACTTTGTCTTCCCACTGTCCCAACAATCACTGACTCCAATTTGGTTGAAATAAACCCTTCATTCACCCATTTAGATATGAAAAAATTCTGGTTCTATACCTGCCAAAATTACTGGTTATTTAAATGGAGTCTGGTGGGTTTGGTGATGGCGATTTAATGGCTGTTTCTGGTTAAGCAAAAAGGATCTTAGTATTTAACAAAAAGGTCTATCTCTGCAGGGATCCTTGTCATGATGTTGTCAGACACAACAACGATCTGATCCTGTCAGTGGCAAAAACAAGCACTTTAATCGGGCGTGCACAATTACCCATTAACATTACATTGCAGCCTGTTTTGCAGCTGCAGCCCTCTCACTTAATGCTGGACCGGTTTCAAAAATTGTTGTTCCCATTAGTCACATAGACACAAAAACGAGAGAATACAGGGTCCAGGATGGATAATACAAAAGTTACCCTTACAAACAATAGTCTGGTGCCCATAGAAGCAGGTTGTTTTTTGCTTTGTCCACCTCTGATGGCATTAAGTACAAACTACAACAGTATTATACATCAAAGTTTTATTGAATGAACTGAAACTCATATTGGGTGTATGTGTGTGTGTAGGTGTGTGAGAAGGAGAAGCTGCTGACAGAGAGGAACCAGCTGAAGGCATGCATGGGCGAGCTGTGGGAGAACTTCTCCTGCCTGTCCCAGGAGGTGTGCAGGGATGTCCAGCTGAGCCCCGAGCAGGTCCAGTCTTTACACCACTACTGCCCCGTGCTGCGGCCCGCCAACTCCACTGCCAGCATCAACTCTGCCCACGAGCCCAAGCCTGCCCCCAGCCCCGCCACCAACACCACCACCACCACCACCAGCATCGACCTCACCGCCCACTCGGGCTCGGCCACGCCGGAGCCCAGCTTCCACGGGTCGCCCGGGCCCTCAGAGAGCGAGCCCGACTTGGCCATCAGGAACGGGGCGGACAAAGATACGGACGGCCGAGACGCCAGCTTGTACACTCAGTCAGGGCTGTCCGCGGAAAAATTCAACCAGACGGTAACGGTGGATTTTTGCCAGGAAATGACTGACAAATGTACAACTGACGAGCAGCCAAGGAAGGACTGTACTAAGTAGTGGTGGTTTTCTGTGTTGTTGTTTTTGGATGTTTTTTTTATTATTTAATTTTACTCTTCTGACAAACCCTCTCTCGGGGTTGCTGAGACGGTCAGCCTCTGCCAGTGTTCACTGAAAAACAAGCTTTGTTTGTATTTATGTCTTTTTGTGCTGTCTTTCTTTTTTTTTTTTTTTTTTTTTGGAACGGTTGACACTAAAGTTGTCTTAACAGCAGCAATACTGTTCTCCAGGTATTCTCCTCTTACCATGACAGAGTGGGAACTTCTCACCAAACCCTTACAATGGTGCTATACCCGCCCCGACAGCAACCTCTACAGTGGAGACTCTGTTCTTCATGTGTCACACATCACAACTCAAAGCTGAACCTCATCGGACCTAAACAGCAGCTCTCTTTGTCTCTCTGTGTACCAACAGTATCTCTGTTCCTGCCTTTCACATTTGCTCTTCTCTTTTTTTTCCCACTCTGTCTCTATCAATCTTCTCTACCTCTTCCTTTCTCGCTCTTTTTCTCTCTTTCTCTCAGTCTGTGGTTCTTCTCTCGCTATATCTCAGTGGCCCTTTTCGTCACGGCAATTCAAACTCAGGAAAAAGAAAAAAAAATCCTCTGAATGTTCAACCTAATTCATGGAAAACGAGAATACAGCTTCTGTACACGAGGAAGTTGCGATGCAGTTAGACTGTAAAATGTTCATATGCAAAAATGTCTTCAAAGCGTCTGGCATTTGTATTTCTGTACAGGAGAACTTTGTACAGGCTGTAACCGAAAACATTCCTCCTTTGCCTTCCTCAGCACTGAATTGAAAGGAAAGAAAAGGTTTTTTTCGCAGGCGGTTAAATGGCTATTTTTATTTCCCACTCATCAGCAATACCATTGTATTTGGATGTTGTAACGGTGACTTTCAAGTGCTTGTTTGGCAGAAATGTACATAGTATGGAGCATGATGACTGTAACAGTGATTTTGTACAGGTAGAGGCTTAGATGTTTCTTTTTTCACCGGGGTTATATCAAGCACCTTTTTGCTAAGGGAAAAATCTTTGCTTTGCTGTTTCCTGTCCTGCCTAATGAATGCTCCCCATCACAGTGGGTGTTCTTAAACTCAGGAAATCAGCTCGATAACACATGTAGACACACACACACACACACACACACACACAGTACATACAGACACACGTGTCAACACACATGTCAAATTTTGAGCCCCATGCATGTATAAAAGTTAGACATTCGAGTTTTTAACGTGAGGCTCAGGCCAGCTCCTCTCCAACTTTGACTCCTCTTTAAATGTGAAAAAAAAGAGTTCTGCCTTGTGTTTTTTGGAGGTAAATCTTATTTCTTATCAGTATTTGAAGATGCTATTTGTGTACACTCTCGCTTTGGGTTTCTTCAGTGTTGCCGTTTGATGTTCGAAGACAGCAGAAAAGCCAACATCTAAGACAGATACTTTCATTTTTTTCAATTTGATGCTGAATAAAACACCTATTGACAAAAAGAAAAAACTATTGACTTAAATCAGGCACTTTGTTCCAGGCCCCAAGCGCTCAGAGCCATTTAGCACTTCAATAAGGGTCTTTGTCTTTGTTTCAGAGCCCTTAAAAGTCTCATTCTGGAGCACTTAAATTGGCACTTCAAGAGGAAACATCTTGTTGATATGATCATATAAATATACAATTCAAAAATATCTCTATAAAGACGACGTATCTGAAACATAAAAAGAAGCTAACGTTTTAGTAAGAGTGTTCACACCTTATGTATTTCTTTAGGAATTGAATAAGCTAATTCAGATTTCATTTGATGTGAAAGCAGTGTATGTGTTGTCCAAATGATTGAGTAACAATCATATAAGATAGTAACACGTTTGCCCTAATTGTGCATTTGTTTGAACATCCTCCTTTGTGATGTGCATGCATGCTGCCTATAGCTATAGGCTTAGTTAGTTTGTCTAGCTTCTGTTTGCCTCGTGAGTTCTCTACTGGAGCAGTCTGCTTTTAAAATGATATTTTAAAAAAAATTTCTATGTATAAACAGGCAAGACAAGCTGAATTATGTCAGCCCTCACTAGAGGCAGGCTCTCAGTATGAGCAGGGCTGTACTCTAGCACAGAGGTTGAATCCAATTGGAACGTGAAGCTTTGTTCATTGCTCGATAAAGCCCCAATCCCAAATGGCAGTCCCCGTTATCTTAATACATAGCTGGAGCTAATGTCGCCTCTAGGCTAGCTGTTGTTCTGCTAGCTTCTATTTTGGAAATTAACTACTGCTACAAGCCCCATCCCTTTTAGTGACATCATATTTTCAAGGTAATCCAAGCCGTTCTCATTCCCAGGTCGTGAAATACCTGTGCTTTGTAATGGCCTTCAGCATCTGATAGCGACACACAGGGCACCCTGTGTCTCTGTGTGACACACATTGTAACACATGGTTAATGTTGTGAGACATTGCAATAAGGTTTAGGTAAGAAAACTACTTGGTATGGTTTAGAAAAAAGATCTTCCTTTGGGTTAAAAGAAGTAAATTTGTTGTGTGGATCATGCACAGCCTTTGTTAAAATTACAAAGGGTTCAACTTCTAATAGAAAGGACTGCGGTAAATAAAAATGTACTCAAAATATGGACTGTAGACTTAATATACTCATATATAGCAGTTGAAATGGTGGTGCTACTCAGGCTATATTCAGACTGCAGGCAAATCAGATTTGTTTCTCTAATCAGATATTTAAGACTGTCGGTACTGTTTCTTGCAAGTGATCAAATCGGATTTGCATGTTTAGACATCACCAACCTGTCTGCATTGGTTGCTGTGGTAATGACAGAGGCGTCAGTGACTGCATAGCTATGCTGCTGATGCCCAAGCCCCCAGGAACAGTGGTGAGCTTTGAAGCCAATTTGACATAGTGGCCAAATCGTGGATTTACAACTTCCAGGTCTTGTCACATGATGTAACTGGGCCCAAAAAGACTTTCCTGTAGACTTAAAAAGTGAAAGAGACGTCTATAAATCACGGATGATTTTCTTTGAGGTATATCGGCTTCTAGTACAAACTCTGAAATAGCCCTTATTTAAATCATTATGTTGTAAAATTCATTAATAGCTGAATCCACAATTATCTCCTACTGTCATTGATGTGAGCGAGCCTGTGGCCAAGTGATAGGGAGGCAGGATAAAAGACAGTGCTAGTGCGCTTGTTTTATGGGTCCATGGACGTGGAAAATCTGACTGGGATGCATCTGTAGAAATCTGATTGGACTCACATTTCAGACCACCTCTGTGTGTAGTTTGGATCCATTTTGCAAAAACTAACATGCATTTCAAGTTGCATTTTGTCGTCCAGACATGATAAAATCAATCTGGACACAATCTGGATATGCCAAAAAACTGATTTGGGTGTGCAGTCTGAAAGAGACCTGAGATAGCCACCCAACTGGGTAGCCGCAAACATTTAGTTCCTTCAAAACCTATTTTTTGCCAAATAAATCTGGGATTTGGGCTTTAAAGTTTGGATGAAAATGCTTCATAGTTCTCCCCCTGACTTTAACTGATGTAAATTTTAGATGTAGTTTAAACTATGATCTCTTGTGTGAGACTGATCCTGTTATACAGCCAAACAGAGTAAGTGTATTTTATGAAACCTGTCTTTAAATTCTTAAAAAAGACAGGTGCATAGACCCATACATGCACAAACACATGCACACAAACACATATATTCATACAATACACACACAGTACACACATTGTGGCACAGCCTGAGTGCGGAGCAGTGGTGGTTCTTCATCGACTGGTGTGGTTTCTCGTGTTTGTTCAGCCCTTTATCCTATTTGTGCTCTTTTCATTCTTTTATGCATATTTAACAGTATTTTACCCATGTGGAGATTCTACCAGGTTCAAGCCAGAAAAACTAAGGTGGAACCATCTACATTACAGAAGCTTCATTTCTGCAAACATTATGCAACTCATTTTCTATTCAAGTACTTTTTGCTCAATCTTAAATTGAAGAAGCCCAGTGTTGCAATGGGGAGCATTGACTCTGACTTTGTCTTTCTGTTTGGAGAAAATGAATTAGTGAAGTTTGTGTTGTCGCAAAACTATTGTAACAAAGACCCCTGGGTGTCTCCTCAGATTTCCTATTAATACTACAATGATCACATTATTGTTTTTTGCATAGCAGAAGTTCTTTTATACCTGTTGAATGTTCATGATTCAACTTAACAAATCCCTAGATTACCACAGAGCTAAGATGAAGAGATGATACATAAAACAGAGGCTCCTGAAGTTCTCTCTCCAGTCAGAAAAGCTTTTTGTCTAGACCTCTAAGCTCTTCAAGTCTTGCTGCATGCTCCGACACTGACTGTTTGGTCAAAGTCCAGTAACAGGCATCCTCAGCTTCAATGGTGAGATGAGTCAATGTCAGCATCTGCAACATGTCCACTGTTGTTTAAGGGGTCACTTAAAAATATTGATATAAAATTCTCACATATGTCTGTGGCATCTAGTCATGCTGATAGTTTAGGTTTTTATTGGTTTTGAAGTATCGATCCAGGTTTTGGGATATCAGTCTATTGAGATTTCTGCCTGATCCAGTGGAGGAATTTCCTTTGTGGTGCTCACATCACTGAAACAGTGCAACATTTCTTTGCAGAAGTAGTGTCCTGTTACTTTGGATAATCATGTTGCTGTGAACAGTATTTTATTTCAGACAATCTCAAAACTTTGGTGAATAAAACCTAAACTATGCATGGCTAGGTACCACCGGAGCTAAGTGAGAAATTGTTTTGTTTTTGTTTTGTTTTGTTTTTTGTCATTTGGGTGAATTGACCCCTTAGTGTCTCAGGGTGCCAAGCATTTGAACCTGCTCTCTTTATCACTCTGAAACTGATTATTTTTTTACTTGCTTTTTTGAAAATCAAACAAAATGTCCCTTAAAATTTTATTATTTATTTAAAGCCGCATTAATTGTTTTAGGCCACTTGGGGGCAGCAGAACAAGCACAAAATTGACATATTGTAAAGTTTGAATGACTAACAATATAGCAAGGAGTTGCCTACTTACACATCGAGCAGACACAGAGCAACATTGCCACTCATTTGTAGTGGTGTTTGTGTCCACCTGATGAATGTAAGTCAAATATTTACTCTCTTTTAGCTCTGTTTTTGGTTTCCACCAGCTCCTGAGATTAAAATCTCTGCCTTTAGCTGCTAAATGCTCCACCATCTTCACCAGCTAGTATAGAATTTTGTATCTGTGCCTTTTGGTGCTTGGCAGGTAGGCACAATGAGATTTTCAAAACTTTTTGGTGAAAAACAGCCGCCTGCTGCTGCTGGAAACAAGATTGATAAGAGCATTTGCTGGTTGGAAGACCAAGCTAATGAGCTAAAAGATGATAAAAAGAAAAACTCTTAAAAGCAGTGTTGGTGATAATTGTTTGCTACCCAGCTGGTACCAGACGTCAATATGATGTCAGAAAAATGTTGGAACCTTGCGTCAGGTTCGGATACGATATCTTAAACGTCTTCGGACGTTAGAATTGCATGTTGTGTGGACGTTAACATTATACAACAACATACCCTATGACTAAATGTCATTATTCTACTTGAGGATGATGTTTGCATTCAATGTATCCTCATGTATTTGTCTGGTATCCTATGAAAATCCACACATAATGGTTTGTATAATATTTTACAAATTTACGCCCCATGAATGACCTTATGTACTTAACGTAAAATTACTTACTTAGCGTAAAGTTGTGGAGGTTAGGTTTAAACATGTAAAGTTATGTGGCTAGGTTTAGGAAAAACACATGAACAATGCCCGTATCATGAGAGGTTAGGAAGACGTTGGATTTTGGTTACTTAACAGCACAACTTAAAACCAACAAAATATCAACATTATCTGTCATCAGTATTCTACGACAAATTGATTTTGGAATTAGACGTTGTCCTGACATTGAATTTTTGTCACCCGACATCACAACCTAAATTCAACCAAATATTAACATCTAAGGACATTGGTGGCCAGCTGGGTAGTTTGTCACTGTGGGCACTTCCTTTCACATTACACATAGTCACGTGATCCATTGTTCATTTAAACTTATTTATTAATGCAGCTTTAAAATATTTGTAACAGTAATTATAATCATGAACACCTAAAATGAATTGAAGAATTTGATACTTAGACACGAGGAGTCCTCCAGGCTACTTTTTTGGTTACGGCCATTACAGCAGATTGCTGTTGCTGTAACCGAATGCTCGTACCCTTTTGCTGTGTATTTGTCTTGTTTAGTTGAAACATTTTTTTGTTGCTGCTTCTCTGAAACAAACACTGGCTTTTCAACTCCAAAGGTTGTTCTATAAAAGAATATGAACAAAAACATGCCTTTCTCAACTTTATTGGAAAAAAAAAAATCTGGTTTCCTGGTTGAACGCGCAGGCTGAGATCATTGAGTAAATATAAAAATGGAAAATGTTTACAAATAGGTGTCATGTCATGTTTGATCAATTTTTGCTATGTAAAAATAGCTTGGTTCAATTGGACTGGTTCTTGGTGTTGTGTAGAGACAAAGTTTCCTCACCTTGTCTTTAATCCAACTTTTGGGATAGGTCAGCATTACATGGATACAAATGCACCTCCGATATTTGCCTTAGAACTTGCAGAGGCCATAGTTCACATTCAAGTGAAGTGAGTGTATGCAGGGGTCTGGGCCCCCATCCCTGAGTCACCAGTGCGGACTTTCTCACACTTATCTACCTGTGAAATCCTTCATACCTCTCATAACTGGTCAATGACTGTATCAGCAAACTGCATCAGGTGTTTTTTCTACATGCTTTTTACACAGATTATATGGATTATTGTATTAGTAGATTTTGGTGCATCATTTTTAATGTAATAGCTCTTAAGCTTGTAGTTCAAGTTGTTGTTTTTTTCTTTCATTTTTCTAGATGACTGTTTTGTGTTAATATTGTCAATTTGCTGTTATTTGCTTATTCTCTACTAAGAGTTCTTACCTTTATAATTTTTAAATGCTACATGACCCTAATTAATTAAAATGACTTAATAACCATTGTAAATACGGTATTGTGCAAACCCCATTTTCATTCATTTCAATTGCTAGTGTTATATAAATGACTCTTTTGTCTAGACACCATTTCTCTTTATGAAATAAAGAAACATGCATATCATGTTTGGTGTTTTGTGGATGTTTTTGCAAAAGCATGACGAAATGTTGGTCAGTGTCAAAACTGTAGTAACTTATCTGTTTGGCCACTTGAGGGCAGCAGAACAAACTGCACACCTGTCTTTTCCATTGGATTTAGGAGTATTGCAGAAAATAAGTTCTAATAATCTTTACAAATGAACACCTGTTTATAATATTCCAAGCCTAAATGCTGTTGCCAGAAGTAAAAAAACTGTCAGGCTATGAACAAACTAAACCACAGTCGCATGACTTAATATCCCCATTACACAAGACTGTAAAGCTGTTTAGCCACTTGTTAGCAACCGCCTTTTTTAAGACACATAGCCTGTGTTGACATAGTGTGGTGTTTGTCTAAAGTGCCAGCATCCTTTTCAATTGTTCCCAATGATGAGAGAGCATATTGAGATGCCTAGAGAAAAAGCATCGCCCCCAGCGTCGTTTTTTAGAGCACGTCACCTTTTTTGTGCGGCTACTCTCAGTGCTTTTGGTTGAACATCTTTGAACATTTTAGAAAGGCGCCAGTGATATTACTGCTACTCCTGTAGCTAGGCTACTGTCAAGCTGTCTCAGAGACAGAAAAGCCCATGTATGAGAGCAAATTGTCCAGCGGACACTGGATATTGCTTGTAAGTGTTGTGCTTTTATCACTGTTCTCTTTGTAAGCTTGTTGTTAACTGTGTAGTCAACCTTCTGTTAATGTAGCATCACCTTAGCTACCTAGCTAATATTAGCGTCAAAACATTGTTGTCAGAAACATACCCATGTGGTGAGATGAAGTGCTCCCCAGCGCCCTGCGACCGCTTTTCTGCTTAAGACAAAGACACTTGTGAACACAGGCCCTAAGAGCTTCATGAGCAGGGTATTTACTGACGTATTTAATGTTGAAGAACAAAACATGAAAATCTCTTAAACTTGTGTTAACTATGGATTTTAATTAGGCATCTCACAAAAACCTATTAAAAAAATCCATTGACTTTGAGATGAGAAAACCGGGAGTGCAAAAATGTTCTTACGTGGACTCTTACCTGAAGTCCTCTATAGACTGTTTAAAGATAATGAATGTAGCCATATAACCTCACCCAATGGTTTCTTGACTCTTGCTGTGTGTTCCAATACACAAAGTACTAGTAGAGGTGGGACCAAGTCATTGTTTTGCAAGTCACGAGTAAGTCTCAAGTCTGTGCACTCAAGTCCCAAGTTAAGACAGGCAAGCGTCTAGTCAAGTCACAAGTCATAAACTTTGAGTTTTGAGTCCTGAACAAGTCATGATGTACTCCTCACCAAATGTAATGCCATTTTAAACAGTGATAAATTTACAAAAATCATTAATGCTTTTTAAAATTTGCATGTATGTATTAAAACAACTTTAAAAAAAGTTTCTCAGCTGTTAAGCGAATGCATTAGCTTGCTAACTCTGTTAACATTAGCCTCAACTGACTTTTCTTTGTGCAACTTCAAATGTCAAAGTTGGAAGCATAGACTGTAGAAAAATAATCGATGTAGCTACCATGACGTCACCCATGGGTTTGTGGGCTGCTGTTTTGAAGCCTAGAGTCCTGCATTTCAGCCGTCACCATCTTGGTTTTTTGGAGTCAGAAGTGACCATATTTGAGTGAGAGGCTTGAGCTGTGGAGGAGCAAGGAGTGGATCTGATTGAGATGCTGCCCTTACATAAGTGTAACTTAAGGCCATAATAAAATGCAAATGGGTGACTTATTAAGAAAAATTTAGCCCCCGTACAATTGTCATGAATGTTGAAATTAGCCAGCAAGACAATTTTAATGAGCATTTTAGTTTGACAGTCAGATGGAGATTTACTCTGTTTTGGAGCCAGCCTCAAGTGGCCACTCAATGAACTGGAATAAAATTTTTCAGCGTCAGAGGTTGCCACTTGGTTGGAAGTTGTTGCGTTTCTGTCAGGCCACGACGATTGCCCCTCCGCCTTATGGCCCATTTCCCCCGGTGGTCACTCATGGTATTGCAACAACAACAAAAAAATTAACATTTTCTTCACAGTCCACATTTAGCCTATAAAGAGATGTCTGTTAAATTGTTGACACCTAAAACAAGGTCATTTAGACTCTTTTATTATAAATTTTTGATCCATGGAGGGCTAATGTTTCTAAAACTTTCTTGGAGCTGAGAAAAGCAAATTATAAAGCTGCGACATCATCACAATGTGAAGTCTATGAGCCAAGACGGAACTCCCGGGTTGGGCCAGCAGGAGAAACAATACTGCATAGGCTGACCAAACGTCCTCTTTTGCCCGGACATGTCCACTTTTCACGTCCCGTCCGGGGTGTCCGGGGGGTTTTTATAAACTGATGATAATGTCCAGTTTTCCGTGTGTTTGTGTGTGTGTGTGTGTGTTAGAGTGTGGCTCGGGCAGCATATTTCTGTCCGAGCCCGAACCGAGCCCGACATTATTTAATGACCAAAGCACTGAGTTTGTGTCACACAGTGGTTACAGGCTATTTAACAGGCCGGGCGTGCACTGTGGGTGCTCAGCTGCGGAGAGGGAGACCTCCGTGTTTGAGACAGGAGCGGGAGGTCCGACGCTTCTAGCGAGAGGAGAGGGAGAAATAAAACAAAATAAGATAAAATAGGAAAAACCTGTCTCCCTCTTTTATTTTATTTTCAGCGTTTAATCAAGGCGGAGGCGGGCGGCTGGAGGTCCAAGACTTCCAGAGAGGAGAGAGATAGAAACAAACAGCCAATGTTTGTCTGTGTGTGTTATGTTCAGGTGTTGTCACGTAGCTAAATAACAGTGCCCAAGCAATAAACAGGACAGACAATAGGATTTTATTTATTTTTACACTATAAGTAGGTCAAAAGGCTCAAGTTCAAGTGAAGTCACAAATCATGGGTGTTAAAGTCCAAGCTGACTTGTCTGACTAGTCTTTTTGATTGTGTCGAGTCTTAAGTCATCAAATTTGTGACTCGAGTCCACACCTTTGGTACACGCAGTCTGCTATAATTTTTTCAGTAATGCTGTATGCATGTATAAGTATACAGGTAGACTTTTTAACCCAGGAGAAAGGCCATAGGGTTATCACTGTCAGACAAGTTTATGCTCAATGGACCATGAATATGCACAAGATATTTGTCAGAGATGGCTGCCATCTTGTTTTTACATGGATTAATGTATTGTGTGCTTACTACTACTAGATGGCACAAAAGTCTCCACGAATGAGGACAACAGGTTAAATAGAATGAAGTATAAGGTCAAGTCAACCCAAAATCTGATGCCCTCATATGAGGACACAGGGTCTCACGAGTCATTCTAGACTGAACTACATACCACTCAGACAAAACAGTTTGCTCCTGTTGAAGAGGGAAATGTATTTAATAGAAAACAAACAAAAAGAACAGGACAACAGAAATATTAACAATAAAAGCTTGAATTTGTTAGATATATTCATAAACAATATTAAATTACTTTCAGTCAGAAAAAAAGCTGAATTTGAAGAGCCCTTTTCTTCCAGCTCATTCTGTATGATAAATCATAAACACTTGATAAGAGAGTTTCCTCTTTTTGTTTTTAATGTTTTTTATGTGGTTGCACACTCTTTAATTACAATCTTAAGTCAAATATTTTTGCAATAGGCTTTTGGTCTCATTATATGAGCAGTCACATTATGCTTTTAGCCAAATATAATTTTGATTCATATATGATTTAGCAAGTGGCTTGCAAACTATTAATATAAAAGTAATCAAAGCTGGAGATATCATTTACATAGTACATGAAGCAAATTATTCATAGTATTTTGTTTGTGAAATGTTAACAGACTTTAACTGAAGCTCTTAGTCATGCACAATACATAATGTATAAACATACTGTGAACACATAATATAAAGTTGCAGTTGAGAGAAAGGATGGGATTTCCTTCAGATCAGGATCCCTCAGTCTCATTTAAACTTCCATATGCCTCTGTCTTGGTCACAAAACAGTCATTTTCAATTTACTTTTTCATGATTGAAGACAGCTCCAGAATCATGCTCTGAAAAAAAAGAAAGATGTGTGGACAATGCATGATTAATATTCAAATAAAAAACACAAACACATTTCTCTTAGCAGCTCCTGAAAAGCTTGTTTTTCTGACCTTAACTTTTCACCATGCTAATGACACAAAAGTGTACTTCAAGCAACAATTCTGGTGATATTACATTGCAGATTTTAGCAGTTTTGTTTTGTCTGGACTCCTCTTGCTTGGGGCTCAGTTTAAAACAAATAATGTCACTTAGTACTATGCACCTATCAGCATTTAGCAATACTGCTATCAAAATGTGCTGACGGATGTGGGGTTAGGCATTTTTGATGATGCTGATGCACTTGCTTGATTCTTGCACATTAGGTGTTATATCGACATGGTGCAAGTCACATTGCATCAAAGCTTCAGCTAAATAAATGGAATGAAATGTAATGGGTTGCTGCTCATATTGCCAAACCACTGTCAATCAAATCTGATTAAACCACACCTACGGAGTTCTCCTGAAACAGATTATTTAAATTAAACAGAGCAGAGACTAGATCAATGAAGAGATTTCCAGTTTTTGAGATTTTGCCTCTACGCAAACGTCTACGGTCTGCTCTGACTGGTCAGTGTTTCTGGCTCTTCCGTATCTGCACACATGACTTCTCTACATTATTATTGCAGCCAGGAGAATGACTGTAATGCTGTAAAAAATCACCAATAAAAAAATATTTACATCTGGACATGTTCCAGAAGTAATTTGGTCTAAAATCAGGGAGAAATCAACAACATCGGCAACCAAAATTACATGTTTGCATGTTAGCATGTAGCTACATGTAGCAGCGTATTGCAGCCAGGGAATGACTGTAACAGAGTATAGCAGCACTTACTACCATGAAAAATCACCAAAAGCTTCATAACCAGATATGTTCCAGCAGGAATATTACTTACAATTGGGAAGAAATGTACACAATTAGAAACCAAGATTACATGTTTCCTTGATGTTAGT